TGAAGTCCTTCCTCCTCAAAGGTACCCAAAACAGCCAACTTTTATTGCCTCTTCATACCTTTTAGAGAGTTGTATCATTTTTCTGAGGGTGAAGGAGTTTTCAAAGGTGTTCAGTTTGCCCCGTTTCTGGTCACGCAGTGCCTGTGCCTGCCTCAGCCACTCTGCTTTTTTGTTCCTGTTCTTGGTTCCTGGAGGAAGAGCAAACCTGAGGTCAAAGCCAGTTCAAAGAGTGGTCACAGGAGAAGACACTGTGGCACTTAGAGCTTGGCCTGGAGCTTTATACTCTCCTTCTAAAGTTGCTTTTAATCTTAAAGTGAGCTCTTGGCTGATGCTTGGCATAGAGATTTAAGACCTGAATTGTTTCCACCAGGTTCTCCTGGGGTTTGTGTTGCCTTTGAACACTGAAGGGTGAGAAAGGGAGAGCATGGGGCTGTACTTCTGTGATCTTATCAAAACCTGATAAGCTGCTTATCACAAGATGCTTTTCCCCACTATGAGATGGAGACACTCAGAAGAACCTGAATCTCTTTGCATCGAGGGCTCCTTTCTTTTCTGGTCTCCTAACAAAACAGGTCTTGGGTCCCTTGGGTAAAACCCCTCCCAGATCAAGCATTTCAGCTCCTTTTGGGACCCAGGGAAGCTGGGCAGGTGTCAAATCCGTGCCCCTGCTGGAGCCCAAGTGAGCTTCAGCTGGCCTTGTATGCTGCTTCACTTCCTACCTGGCAGTCTGGGTTGTGAAGACTGCCCAGTAGAACATCTCAGCTCTGTGGGGACCAAGGACACTGACCTGCTGCTCTGTCACCTTGACAGCCTGATTTTAGTTGAACCAACAGCACGTCAGGTAAGGATGTGCTCAGATCAGCCCCATACAACAGCTCCTTCCCTGGGTTGGAACTGGGTCTTGGGCCTTCATTACCATGACAATAAAAATGCCAGCTGAGCACTCCTAACTACCTACCCAGCTGAGGTTGCTGGGGAGAGGACAACTACTCATTGCAACTGAGCTCCCTGTTAAACCACCACAAGTACCACATTTGTGTGGTATTTCTAAGGCAGGGTATTGCCTTGGGTAGGACTAGAAGACCTTTTGCTCCACCCTGCTATGCTGAGTTTGGTGCCAGAGGGAGGGTCTGGGTGCTAGAAGTTGAAAATGCCTCATGGAAACGAAGTAGCTACTGCTGGATTTCAATCTGGGTTTCAGATTCAGGCCTGGCTTCTGCTCCCTACCAAGAAAGGTGGGGATAATGTGCTCCCAGCCTGGGAATCCTCAAAGTGTTTCCCCAGCCTGTCTTCTAAATTAGCAGAGAAACTGAATTTTAAGAAGCTCTTTCAGATTCCTCCCCACCCTGAGGCACAAGCGACAGGAACCTCTGAGGTTTCCACTTCTCACTCAGCAGGTGGGCCCAGTGTCTCATCAGGCAGCCTCCAGAATTCCACTACTGGGAATTGGGTGGGAGCTGCAGATGCTCAGCATCTCTGTCAAGTGGGCCTCATGAGTTTGAGAGCCTGGGTTTAGGAGTCTCTGTAGAGTCAGTGAGGTGGGAGCCCATCATCAGCCACCCACAGCAGTACCCGAGGGCTGAAGCTCCCAGGACAGGTTTGAAAGCTGCACTAGGTGAGTGGCAGGTGGTTCAGAAAGGGTCAAGAGTCAAAGATTTTGGCTTTCTAGTCTAGAAACCACAGAACAGTGAGGACCTGGGGACTAAATGAGACCTTTTCTGAACGTGTCTGCAGACTGAACAGGACTGGCTTCCAACAGACAGGGAAAGCTTATGGATAAAGTGAAGTATTTTCCCAAGGGATGCTGGAAAGGGCCAACAAAGGCTTGTGAAGGAGGGAAATGGGAAGGACAGGTGGTCTCAGAGCCCATTGTGTCACACCTGGCTCTAGCCTGTGCTCCCCAAATGTTGACACTCCTTGCATTGAAAGAAGGAAACAAAAATCTTCAGCTCGATTGTACAAAATTCTCTTTTATATATATATACATATATACACACACACACACAAACCCCCATAACTAACAGGTTTACCATTTTCAATTTTAAAAAGTTGCTTCTAGAAGAGTGTTGGATATTTTTTTCCTCTGCTTGTTTTTCAGGCAGTGCAGTTGCTTAGAAGTTGACACCAGGCACTGGGTGGGTGGAAGTAAACCAAGTCAGTCAGGAGCAGTGCAGGACCCAAGAGCTTTATTCCTCAGTGCTTGGAACTGAGGGTCAGGGATGGAGAGAACTGATGGTTCCTGATCCATCTCTGGGATATTTTGCTCTGTGTTATTCCCTCTCCCCTTTCCCTCTTTTTCCCCTGGGAAGAAAGCACAATCCCCACACTGCTCCAAAAACAAAACCAGAAGAAAAACAGGGAGCCAGGCAGCAAAAGGTGGCTCAGCACATCCCCAGTTACATGCATTGACTGAACCATCAACACGACTCTTTTTTGTAGTTGTTTTTTTTTAAATCCAGAGGTTTTGTGCAACATCTGTTAAAATAACTTTGTGGGTGGTGTTTTTTTTTAAATCCCACAGCATCGTGGACGTTTGGAAGAAGCAGAGAAAAATCCAATGGAACACCTTCCTGCAACAGAACCCTTCAGTGGGTCAAAAACCAAAGTCAGTCCGACTGGAGCAGTTTTACAAGGGTTGCCAAGGTGGGGGGTGTTGGTTGGTTGGTTGTTTCCTTCATCCCCATCCTCTCCATGTCCCGTCCCCCCCCCCATATTACAAAAGATTGTTGTTGGTTTTCATTTTTATTAACAAACGGGCTCCTCTGCAGTTTCATAGACAATCATAGGTGACTTTGAAATTCCATTTTATACAAACATCTCAAAAAATAATAGTAATCATAATATTGGGAGTGAAGTATGGTAGGAAATATTGCTCACGTTAACATGCGTGTAGGCAAAGGAGGAGAAGGGTTTGGTAGTGCACAACTCCAGAGCAGAGCAACGCCCCCCCCTCCAAAAACAATACAGCAGCTGATGACAGAAAGATAATGTCCACAAAATTAAGTTTTTCATGCTATTCTACTTTCCAGTACTGTGCTCTCAGATCCCTTTCACAATTGATCCGCAACGGCCGGGTGCCCGACGCTGAGGTATATTAAAAAAGGGATACCTGCACCTAGAGGAAAATCCACCTTTACAAAGGGCTTATTTTTAACAATCTTGGGGTTTTTTGGTTGGTTGGAGGTTTGTTTTTTTTTTCTGGTGCTGCATGAAGCAACTGTTGGCCAGGAATTGTTACCTGGTGCCCCTGCCAATTGGTTGTAGACAATAGGTGACGCCTCAATTTTTTTAGGCACTTCTTTTAAAAAGGGAGTGGTTGTTTCCTTGAACTGATTCCTTTTTGCTTTCTGTCCCACACCACCCCCTCCCCAGCCCCCAACAAAAGTCAGGGAATAGTTTCTACTCCAGATCCAATTGATTTTTATTTCTTTTGTATTTCTTCCTCCCCCCCGAATAATTTCCTATGTATAAAACGACAAAGGAAACGTTGAATCAAAGAGCAGAGGAACAACCTGACTGAGCAGTTTTGCAAGACAGAAGATGGCTCCTTAGTTCTTACAACTAATTTCACCATTTAAATTTGACTCTTCTTTTTTTTTTTTTCTTTTTTTTAAGCATACGAATGAGACATAAATATAGCTTAGCAATCTGTTTAAAAATTTCAGTCATAAAATGGAAAATTTGTTCTCATTTATTAAAAATATCACATTTTGAGACTAGAAACAGTAAAGTGCATGAAAAGTTTAAAATAGAAATCCAAGAAAAAAATCTTATAGCAGCAAAAAAGCAGAATAAAGAAAAACTTAAAAACACAGACACAACCTTTTCCTATCACTGTGCCATATTTTTTTAAACATGAAGCAGCCAACCAAGTTTTCAGAAAATTGCATTTTGTTTAATGCCTCTTGAGGCACAAGGTTTGGAACTGGCCACCTAGAGCATAAAAAGGGACACACAAAAAAAGAAGATTTCCAACACATCCAGAGAGAATGAACAGTTGGGAATGAACCAGCAGCTTTAGAATTCAACCCTGACTGACAAGAGAAAAGAGAGATTGTTTTTTAAAAAGTGGGATGGTTATTTGGCAACTAGAGTCAGGAACAATAATCCCAGGCATGTTTATGGCTCCTGAATGAAACAAAACATGCCAAGAGCTGCTCTGCCAGCCCTTTGGAAGCAGAAGGAAGATTCCACTTCTAGGGGCTTTTTCCTGTACCCTGTGCTTAAGCATTTAATCCCAAGTTTCCCATCTTGGGAAACAGGAACCTAGGATGGATTTGCAACTTCTTTACTTGCCCAGGGCCCAAGCGTTTGCGGCGGCTCGTTCTGCCAAGTGCCATTTCCTTCCATTCCTACATCCTGCTCTCAAACTGAGTCACCCTGCCTTGCCCAAGCAGAGAGGCAGCTCCGCTCCACCGTGGTCCTTTGGATCCCTGAGGATCCAGAAAGGAAGGTCCTTTAGATCCCTCAGGATCCAGAGAGGACTGAGAGCTCTGAAGAAGGTCCCTGGGGTGTCTGCTGAGCAAGCAACCTGTAGGCAGCGTTCAACACTCACCTGCAAAGCCCTGGGAGCTTTGCTGGATGTGTCAGTGTGAATGAAATGGTATCAGGAGAATTTAGACCTGCAGTTTCCTCAGAGATATTAACTCATCTTTGGTTTCCTAATACTAGTTAAGACAAGGGGCAGGGCCATGCTACTAATTGTTTATAGTCAGGTATTAAGTGCTCCGCTAATGTGCAAAATGTTTTTTGGGTGCAGAGTTCAGTCCCTCTTTTGGGTTCAAACAAACAGGATTTCTAATCTTCTTCCTGCAAACCAAGCCCTTCTATTTTTTTGTTTTTCTTTCTCCTAAAAAGTTGGCTCATTTTGCCACGTTCTGGAAAAAAAGCATCATCTTGAAATATGTTAATAAGCAAGTTTTGAATCTCATTTGTCTGTCTCTAAGTGCAGCTTTCTACTGAAAATAAAAAGTTTGCCAGTTTTGTTTTTTTTAAATAATATTAAATTAAAAACCTGGAAAGGGAATAATACTTTGGTTCCAGCCCTAGTGCCAAATGATACCAATATGCACCAAAAATGTGCAAAATCTCTTATCAAACACGTAAGAAAAGGAGCTTGGAGAAGCAGCTTAAGGTTGGCCATACTTCACTCCTCTATAATTCGATTTACAACTGTACAGGTCCATGACAACAGGTCCTTGCCTTCTGAGGGACAAGGTGCCACTACCTCCTGTTAGGCAAGTGCACCCCGTTGACAAGAGGCAGGAGCGGAGGATGGAGTTCGAGTTGTGTTAACAGTGAGAAGTGGTCGGAAGGGATGTGAGGGTGTGGACACCCAGTGATGTTGTTGTCAACCAGCCACTGAGGGTCCAAAGGCCCCAGGACACCAAGCACGTTCATGTGAGTGTTGGAATAGAAAATGTAGTCAATCACACCCTAGGGAGAAAGAGAAACACAACAGTGAGAACAGACCTCGCTTCCGGCCACCGCAGAGTGTTCGGCCAGCGGAGAAACCGGTGGTGAAGCCCTTACGGGAGCAAAAAGACAGCCAGCCAACACTCAGAGCATTAAGACAGCATCCTGGGGAGACCAGGCCAACATCAGCCACTTCAGAAAAATCGCTGCTTACTTTGAAATCAAAAGTGTAATTGGTGTAAGGCATCAGGTTGTTTTCGTAGGCGCTCTTGAGCTGGAAGCCGTGCGTGATCCTTCCCTCCGAGGCCCCGTTCTTGCCGTTGCCGCTGAAGTTCATCAGACACTCGTTGTAACGCAGCTCCTTGAAGTCCTTGTGGTTGTCAGCCACAATGCCATTGCTTAAGTATTCCACCACACCTGTGTGCAAAGGAAAGGATGCAGGACGTTGCCTGAGAAGAGAGGAATGTTGGCCTCAGAGTGAAAAACCACTGCAGCAACCCTGGGAGATAAGGAAAGAGCTTTCCACCTGAGGGGACATCTCCTGTTGACCTGTCCATGTCTGAGCCAGGTACACCCTTCTGGGACACAACTGGGGCTCTCCAGCCATTCTGACACTGTTTCTGGAGGATGACAGCAGACCCAGAGTGCTGGTACTGGAGGAGCCAGGTGAGGGGGTGCCAGAGAGGCAGCCTTCCTGTGGTACCTGATCTTTCCATTTCAAATATTGTGATTACTAAAGCCAACGTGTCTCCTTAGAGACATCTTGCACCAGAAACTCACATCTTTCCTACTTAAGGCTGCTCAAGCCACAGGTATTTATTTAATGATCCCTTAGATCCCTTAGTTCTTTTCTACAGCTTTGTAGGTGCAACCTACAACCTTCATAGCATCTGCTCTGGAGACAGGCTGAGGGAGGGGGGCTGTTCAGCCTGGAGAAGAGAAGGCTCCAGGGAGACCTTAGAGCACCTTCCAGTGCCTGAAGGGGCTCCAGGAAAGCTGGGGAGGGGCTTTTCACCAGAGAGAGGAGTGATAGGACAAGGGGTGATGGTTTTAAACTGAAAGAGGGGAGATTTAGGTTAGACATTAGGAAGAAATTCTTCACCATGAGGGTAGGAAGGCGCTGGAATAGGTTGCCCAGGGAGGTTGTGGCTGCCCCCTCCCCAGAGGTGTCCAAGGCCAGGCTGGATGAGGCTTGTGCAGTCTGGTCTAGTGGGAAGGTTGGAACCTGATGATCTCTGAGGTCCCTTCCAGCCTTAACCACACTATGATGTTATGAACCAGCTTTTCTGGAGCACGCAACTGATCACAAGGAGTCTGCTCAGCTGGAGGACGTGCATTCTCTTCAGCCAGCTTTCCAAAGGCAGCTGTTACTAAAGAGCTTTCTTCCATACCTCCCCAGGAAAGTGCAAACAGCCCCACCACCCTTGAAGGAGAAGAGGATTCAAACATTCTAAAAAAGTAAGATAAAAATTAAGCCAAAACCAGTCTTACCTGAATCAGGCAACGAGTTGAGATCTGCACACAGCACCAGAGGGATAGAGTTAGGATCTGCTGTTGGGCTCCCGGGCCTGCTGGAGGCTTTCTCAAGGATATTCTTCAGTTCCGAGACAAACATCATAGTCTGAATGAGTTTCACATCTGAGTATTCAGGGTCCCAGTGCATGTGGGCATTGGCCACAATCAGCAGCTGCTTGTCCACATGAAGCGATTTCATACCTTGATAAAAAGACATTCTGATCAGTGAGAGGCTGATTGTGTCACCCCCCGTGTTCACATTCAGGGTTTAGCTGTGAAGGACTCCAGGTCAGATGCACTTTCATTGCTGGGAAAAAAGGCATGACCTGAACTCCTCCTCAATCAGCAGTGTTTCCATAATATTAGGTGACTAAATCTCTTAAATATAGGAAAGTAAAAGCCACCAGCATAACCTGATCCTGTTACAGCTGCGTTCCTTCTCTACTGCTCAACGCGGTCACCACTTGACCTGAACCACTTTTCAATACTGAAGGCCCAAGGGAGTTTCCTGACTCTCAGCTGCTACAGTACAGCAAGTTGTTCCCTCGGGAAAACAACTCCAACCTGCTTAAATGAATGCAGTATGAACCTGGCTGCTGCCAAACACTGTAGCTGTTTTTACTGTTTATTTGAGAAACTACTCTGGAAGATGGGGCAGAAAGCCACAGGCAGCTCCTTCCAGCCCTGCAGTTGGGACTTTCTTCTCCTTTGAAGGGCTGGAAACAAATCTGGACAGGCAGACAGAGCAGGGTGGCAGTTTTCAGTAAGTTGAAGCTGCCTGTTGCATTTGATCAAACTTAATGAAAATGTAAGTCAATCAAGTGGCATGGAAAGATACTTGATAATCTCATTCTTCCCCATCAGTACATTAGCACTGTCATCTGATCACTGGGGCAGGATGGAAGGATTCCACCAAGGGGGGAGGGGGGGAAAAGAGTTGGAAATAGAAGTTGAACATTGCTGACAACTATTGGTAAGAGCATTTGCATGTAAACACTCTGACCTTGGAAAAGCTTAATTCTTCAAGAAGAATTTAACAGAGTAAATAATCAGGGACAAAAGCTTGAAAGCAGAAAGCTGAGTGCTGGGCATCTGGCAGAGCAGATCATGTCACCTATGTCCTGTCCCAGCTAGTGTTTCTCAGGTTAGCCCATGGAAAAGCACTGGCTCATCTCCAAGTACTTGGTTACCATCACCAGTGGCACTAATATTCTCCAGAGCATAACTCATGGCTTGAGGTGGAACTGAATCATCAAAGAGAGACCCAGGGTCATACTCACTTGCTCCAAAGAGTTCCTTGTGCACCTCTAACACCACAGCAACTCCGATGTTGTCCTTGGTCATCACGCGGTTCAACATGGCTTCTGAGCCTTCAGAGTTGGCCATGGCCACTTGGTTGAACTCCACTGTGTGCTTCTGCACCAGTGTGAACCTGAGCAAACACAGAGAACTGGCTGTGAGCAGGGGGGATCTGCAGCTGTGGGAACAGCTGTGGGTTCTCTCTGCCCTCCAGCCTGCCCCATCCAAGGAGAGAACCTGCAGGACAGGGTGAGGCACGTTGCTTCTGTCCTCTCTCTTTTTAGAAGTAAAAACAGTTCTAAAAAGTATTCCCCCCAGTGAGGACAGAGCTGTTGATCTGGCAAGGGAGATACTCTCAGGGGCTCAAAGATGTATCTCAAAGATACACTGGAGCTTAAAAAGTGGTTACTTGTTTCAGTGTACCACTCTGAGAGGACTACTGAGAGCAACACTCAGAGGTTATCATAGTTCCTCAGGAGTTCTAAGGCAAAAAATTAAGATGAGATGGTGGTTAAAGGCTTGCCTGTTACTTTGGGCAAATGCATTTTAAAAAGGCAGCTTCTTTCAAACCACTAGCTACCACCATTAGTTTTGTGAAATTGGTTCTTCAGTCCTTTCCAGCCTTAGGATGCCTGAAAGCTCTTTGCTTCAGGACAAACCTGGTCTAGTGGGAAGTGTCTCTGCCCATGCAGGAGGTTGGAACTAGATGATCTCGAAGTTCCCTTCCAACCCAAACCAGTCAGTGACTCTACTGAAAAGGATTTTTTTGTTTTGTCCTTGTTTTTCTGGTTTTTAACTGAAGCAGAATAACCAGTTCTGTCTATATCCCCGATACTATCAAGGTTTCAAGGTTTGAAAAACATCAGTTGTTTGTTTTCATAGACCTCCTCTATTCAAAACCAGTGGAGTTGTTTTTTATACATGATCTGAAAGGTGTTGATTTTGTTTCTGGCAGCAATGAAAACTCTGAGAGGGAGCTAAAGTTCTGCAAAATGACCATTCTAATTCCTGAAAACTGTTTTGAGGGATACTCAGTGTGGTGCCACCCATGAGCAGTTTACACAAATGAGAAGTGTAAGAAGCACCTCTCCTCTCTTCCCAAGAGTTTAATGCTTTCAGTCTAGCAGAACTTTTTGAATCAGGTATTCACAATGCAAGCTTTAGATGCCTAAAAGCAGAGAATATTGGGATCATTTGGCAGTAATAGCTCTTTTAAGCCCTGAAGATTTAATACCCAAAGCAGAGCTTACAGATCTTGAAAGGTAAATCTTAACAGGGGTGAAACTTGGGTCAAACAAGGGAAAAGTTTGTGGAGGGCGAGGTATTTGTTAGATCTGCCCAAAAATGTGCACATGAAGCACCTAAGCTTTTTTTCCTACTTGCTCTCCTGCAACTTCCATGGTTCTGAAGAGACTTATTTGTGCCCAGGGTGAAAGGAACCAAAGGACTCTGTCACAAACTGAGCAGCAAAAGGGAAGGGAGGATCATTCTTTGTAGTGAACTTTAACTTTTGCTTTATAGCTCAGTTCATTGGTTACCATGTTACCCAAGAAAGGAAAGCTGACAGGCCTAAATCAAGCTGGTTTTAACCTATTTTTAAAAAAAGCTGCTTCTTACTTTTCAGTTTTGAAGAATATTGCACAGCCATCCACGTGCTTTTTCTCCTGCTCAGACATGATTTTGGCACGCGACTTTGGAGAAAAGAATCCATCGTATCCTCGTTCTTTCAAGGCTGGCAGAAAAAGGGTGAAGTATTGCTCTGTTTCCACTTCCTGGAATGGAATACACAGACCTTGGGCTGACAAAGTCAAGTACACCCTTTCCTGTGGCTGTACAGCCCCTTGGGCCTGCCTTGGCTTGCAGTCTGCAGCTCTCACCCCAGTGAAAAGCTTCTGTTGGCACTACTCCTGGCACTTCCTAGATTTAACGGACTGCTGGAAACAGATTTGCATTCCTGGATATCCTGGAATTCCCCCAAAAGGGAAAGTGACAGGTGTACTTGGAACAGCAATAGGTTACACCTGGTATTTTTGACCTCTCAATGTGGGTACCCTCCTGGGTTAAAACTTGTGAGAGGTTCAGAAGGTATCCAGCAACAACCAACGGTTCATCTGGAGAGCTCTTTCCCACAAGGCTGTTCCGTAATGATATGTTTTCTTTCTAGTAACATTTGGTATCCAAGAGGGTTCCCGAGGTTGAACACTCAAGGTTTTCAGGGCAAGGTAACTACTCTCTTTTTGTGCCAGATTTTTGCCTACCAGAACTTGGTTAGAAACTGAAGTCAGTTTGAAACCAGATGCATCCAACTGTTCTACGTGCTGGCGACGATTTTACACCAACACAGGGTACAGGTACCAATGGCCATATTTACTTTTGACCAGGAGAGTCCCCTTGTTTGCCAGTGACAGTATTTTGGGGATCTTATCTTCTATACCAAGCAGGAA